CATTTAAAAAGAAAATAAATTATTTAATAAAAATTTAAATAAATTTGAATAAATTTTCAAAATTACACAAGTACAATAAATTTTCCAAAATTTTCATAAAATTACATTTTTGAATATTAAAGACAATTTAGTGTACTTTTAGAAATTTACCATGTGGTTGATACTCAATATATCATTTTGATAATTTCTATCATCAAACTAAATATTGGGTTGACGGGGACAATGTTTTCAAATCTGGATTAAACCAGATGGTTAGACCAGAAAATTTGGGAACTGGACATCGTTTCACCTCAAAACCACTTTTTATCCAAAAACCGTTTATTTGGTTAGCAAACTACTGACGTGGGCGGTCGAACCATCAACCCGGATAATAGTTTTTGGCCTTTTTTTTGTTTTTCTAATTTTATTTATTTTTTGTCAGAGCGAGTCATCCGTTTGAACTAAACAGTCAGACCGTTTAACCCTAGAACGGTTCCCTATCCGATCCAATTTTAAAAACCTTGGACGAGAAGTGGGTGCCTTGATTTGAGCTTGGCTTGGTGTGCAACATGGCTTGGCCCAAGGCCCGACCATGGACCAGCCCGACCCACGACAAAGCACGAGCCCGTGCGGGCTCTAGCCGTGGGCCATGCCGATCCGACCCCCCAAATTATCTTAGAGGAGGGAGGCACGGCCTGGGGCCCCTCGTGGGCCAATACGGCATGACTCGCACTTTGTGCGGGCCACATGCGGGTCATGTCGTGCTGACCCAACACGACCCAATTTACACCTCTACTTGAACCCTCCAAATATTAGGGATGGGGCAGGGAAATTCGAGGATTCTCCATCCTTGATGAAGAGTGGAGTGTCTTGCCCCTGAACTCGCCCGACATTGAGGAGTGGTTACCTTCCCCTGAACCCGCATGACATTGGGGACGGGGCAGGGATAGGGTAGAGTGTCTTGACTATGGAGCAGGGAAAGGAATAGGGTGCCCTACCTTGAACCCACCCTGTTGTCATTCCTATGTAATTGTTAATTACTAGTGGAATTAATAAAAATGTTAGCTTTTATAATTATTTTTATTTATTTAAAATTAAGCAAAATTTCATTTAAAAATAATAAAAAAATAAAAATTATTAAAATTACTATAAATTACTAATAAAACTAAATTTATTAAAAAATATTTGTTCATATTCAATTAACAATAATTATTTTTTATAAATCAACATTAAGTGAAAAATAAAATTACTAAATCTTTAAGATTTTCCTATGCATCGCACGGGTCCCTACTATATATATATATATATATATATATAATTTTCTCTTTTTCTGAATTTTTTATTTTTTTTAATTTCATGTCATTTTTGAAGCAACCAATGAGACGCACTTTCCCAATAACCTCAATAATCTCTTCTCCTAAAATTTCTCCTAAACTACCTCTCCCACTTTCTCCAAAATTATCTTTAATTCGTATTTATCCTCTCCCCTACTTTTTATCGATATCAATCTAAAGAAAGTTTGGATTAAAAAAATTAAGAATTATTTAAATATTCTAACAAAATTATATAATAACTTCAAAATATTTATTAAAAACACAAAAAAAATAATTTTATATTTATGTACTAACAATTTAAATTATGTTTTTTTGGATTACCAATTTAAATGTTTTTCAAATATCTAATAATATGTAATAGCTTTAAATAAATAAAGTTCAAATAACAAAAAAATTTAAATTTAATTTATTGTACTTATTGTATTTATTCTATTTTTGTTATAAATTATTAATTAACATTTATTAGAGATTAAAGTATAATTTGAGATTATACTATTTACTAAGTTAATATATTTTAGTACTTATTGTAATTATTATATTTTTTTCATTATCAATATATTTTCAATAATTATGTATTTTTGCTATAAATTTTTAATAATTATTGGAGATTAAATTATTGTTATTTATCATAGATGAGGCTATTAACTGAGCTGAAATTATGAGTGTTCATTAGTTGGTTCGGTTTAGTCGTAGGCTATTTGGCGAACCAAATTGACCTGGTTAGGTTGGGGAGTTGGTCAACTGAAACCGACTAACCTTTTATTAAAACCGACCCACTGAAGTTGTATCGGTTTGGGTCAATTTTTTGGTTTGGTTAGTCGATTCAAAATATTTAAACTTAAAAATTAAATTTAATTTAAAAAATCACAGTGCAATTATTAAATAATAAATTTAAAAATTAGATTTATGATATAAAATGTTTTAGACTAAAAAATATGGGAAATTTCCCACTTTTCCATATTAAAAATTATAGTTAAAATATAAAATATTAATATATATATCTATGGTTAGGTCATTCGATTTTGGTCGGTTTCATTAGTTTGATAAATAAACCTAATTGAAATTAATTATTGTTATTTTTGTATTTTAAAAAAATTATCAAAAGTAGTATATAAAATATGAATAATTATGTGTTTCTATTAGTCATTTACTAGAATACATCTTATAGTTTTACATATTTACTTAAACTTTATACTTTTCATTTTACTAAAACATTTCATATATTTTACAACTTATTTACTTAATCAACCTTTCATTAAGGAGTGTTTGTTTTGCCATTAAGCCCATGATTTTTTATTCCAAAAATACCCTAACACTTTTTTTTTGTACATAAAATAAAATTGACCAAATATAACCAATAGAGTGGTTGCTCATGTCTTATTAAAGGCAAAAATTGTATTTTTATTTTTATTTTCTTTTGATTAAATTTATTTAAATGAGTATTAAGGTCAACACTGTCATTTTCCATTGTCATCTAATGAAAGATTGATTAAATTCATTGTAAATTATAAATGGTATTTTAGTAAAATACTAACTATAAAATATATTTTAATAAATTCATGAAATTATAAAGGGTATTTTAATAAATGACCCTTTCTATTTATTATTATCTTTCGCTTAATAAATCTCGTGCATTGCATAGGTCCCCACTAGTAATTTATTAAAATGCTCTCTTGATATTTGTATGGAAAAGATGAGAACAACTAAAAAATGATGAAAATGGGCAGGGCAAAGTACATTATCTCCTTTTCACTCACTTTTCTCTTGAGCCTTATTTGAACAGAACCCTCACCTTGAGAAAGAACAAATATACATCATAAAAATGTTTATCCAAAAATGTAAGAGAAATAACAAAATGATCCCACAAAATTATGGAAGGAATATAGTTTGGAAATTTGAATTGGGATCTCATACCAACAAAAAGTGGGACCTTCTATCTCTGCGATGTGCGGTGTTACATCATGTTAATAGGGGGTTAGAATGTGTTTTGTTGGGAAGAAATGTTTAATAAGCACATGACGGTCACATGAAAATATTTTTTAAGTCATTGATGAATGCTAGGAGAAGGAGCAAATTGTTGGAATCTGAAACTTCATAAGGGTATTTGACTATTTGTTGCAAATGAAAATTAGAGGGGAGGGGGGGTAAGTATCATCACCCATAAAGTACAGGGTAGTAATCTGTATGTTATCCATGAAAGCATATTGCAAGGGCCCAAAGTATTGGCCCAAGGCCCAAACCCGACAATTTGCGGGCTGGGCCGGTCTAGAAAAGAGTCCAAATACTCAAATAAGCTTGCTTGGACCGGGAGGTCCTGGAGGGTCACACGGAAGCCATCCTCGAGCGAAAACATATCAAAAGTGTCCACGTGGCTAATAAGCTCGACATTAGAGATAGTGGGATCCGGTTGAGCAGACCAAGATCTCCGTAAACAACGTCATAAACGACTTCTCGGAGGGTCCGGTCGGAGATGTCGTTCACAATCTCCAACCAGTGCTTAGATTAGCTAATTAATTTCAACGATATGTTTATTACTTTCGCATTAATTACGATTTGGAGCTTCTTTTGTTTTCTGTAATAAAATCCTTTTCCATTCAAATATGTAAAAGCTTTTCTCCCTGTTGACGTTCATTCGCTCTCACGTCAATTGTGGTCTGCTCTGTGTTTTTTTCCTCTGTTCCTTGGTGTTACTGTTTCATAGGCTTTTGAGGGGGGAGGATGAGTGGATCTAATTCGGTAAAAAATCCCAAAGAAATGGAGAAAGAGGAGGTTTTTATTGGGTCGGTTGATCAGGGAACGAGCAGCACGAGATTTATAATCTACGATCAGTCATGTAGGCCTGTCGCGTCTCATCAGATTGAGTTCACTCAGTTCTGCTGCGAAGATGGGTAATCATGCATGCATTTGTTTTTCTCTGTGAAGATCATTTTTTTCGTTTTTATTTTTTTTCTGGGATCGATCTTTTCTTCTAAAACTCTGATTTTGTATTCATATTGATTCTGTTTTTGTTGTTGTTTGGCTAGTTGGGTAGAACACAATCCGATGGAGATTCTGCAGAGTGTCCGTCTTTGCATGGAGAAGGCCATTGATAAGGCGACAGTGGATGGCCATAATGTGGAAAAAGGATTGAAAGCGATCGGCCTCACGAATCAGAGAGAGACGACGGTTGTCTGGAGCAAGTCCTCTGGTTGCCCTCTTTATAACGCCATAGTCTGGTTGGACGTTCGGACCAGTTCAATCTGCAGGTTTACATTTCTTATTCCATTCTCTTCTTCTTTCCCATTCTCTGTTCCCAGTTTTGGCGGAAGCTTTCCGCGTGTTGTTAATTTGAGATTTTAAAGAAGGCCCATGTCTTCCATGTCTTATAATTTTCAATTAGAATCTGGGTTTTGTTATTTTGCGATTGTTTTCAGGAGATTGGAAGAAGACTTACCAGGGGGAAGAACCCATTTTGTAGAGACCTGTGGCTTGCCCATCAGCACTTACTTCAGCGCAGTTAAACTCCTATGGCTGTTGGAAAATGTCACCGCTGTCAAGCACGCTGTGAATACAGGGGATGCTCTGTTTGGAACGATCGACACATGGTTGATCTGGAATCTGACAGGAGGTTGCGATGGTGAAGACGGAAAACACAACAAGATGACTGGGTTGCATGTGACTGACGTCTCGAATGCATCTCGAACCATGCTCATGAACCTCAGAACTCTTGATTGGGATAAAGCCACACTGGATACCTTGGGAATACCCATTACTATCCTGCCCAAGATCATCAGTAATTCTGAAATCATCGGAAATATAGCCAGTGGATGGCCAATTTCTGGTGTTCCAATCGCCAGTAGCCTAGGAGACCAACAGGCAGCCATGCTGGGGCAGGCGTGCCGGAGAGGAGAGGCCAAGAGCACCTACGGCAGTGGTGTATTTATACTACTGAACACTGGTGAGAGCATCGTTAGGTCATCTCATGGGCTCCTCAGCACCATTGCTTACAAGTTAGGCCCCTCTGCTCGAACGTATTATGCTTTGGAAGGCTCGATAGCTACTGCTGGTGACGCAGTTCAGTGGCTGAGAGACGGCATTGAACTGATTGAGAGCACAGAGGAGGTTGAAGAGCTGGCAGGGAAGGTAGATAATTGTGGGGGGTGTTATTTTGTGCCGGCATTTAATGGGTTGTTTGCACCGTGGTGGAGAGAAGATGCTCGTGGGGTGTGCCTTGGGATCACAAGGTTTACAAGCAAGGCACACATTGCTCGAGCTGTGCTGGAGAGTGTGTGCTTCCAGGTAAACGATGTGTTGGATTCAATGCACAAGGATGTAGGAGATGAGGGTGAGTTCAAGAATGACAAGGGGGAGTTCTTGCTTAGAGTGGACGGTGGTGCAACAGTTAACAACCTCTTGATGCAGATTCAGGTGTGTGGATTCTACTAAGGCTCTGTTTGTTTTCAGTGTAAATGCAAATCGATGTAAAGCTCCATCGTCTGTTCGCATTTGTCCGCGTTTGTTTTCAGTCAGTGTAGAACTCCACTCCCGATCCTTATTTTCACACATTTGTTTTCAGTGTAAATAAGGACCTCCCTCCCCATCGGTTGAGTTTTACATTGATTATCACACTTTAAAAAGGTTCGAACGGTTCATTAGTTTTAAACCCATTGGTGTTGAACTCCATTGATGTACTTTTACATTGATGAAGTTTACGCCATAAACAAACGCAGGCATGTCTTTGTTGAGTGGACTCTGTTTGTCTATTTCATAGATCTATTGATCAACTCTTTATCTGTTTTTTGTTTCTGTTCTGTTGCTTTCTTGTTTGAATTTCATCATGAAAGACGGTTACTGTTGTATCTTCAGCTACTAGGTGCCATTGATGAGGCCTGCTTTAGAGCTCTTGTGAATGATGACATTAGTACTAGATTGAAACACCATTTCTTTCTGGGTCTGTGATGCTTGAGTGTAGACAGGTCTCATTGGCGTGAGAAGCCCTTTGCCAAGTACAGATTACTAGATTGAACCACCATTTTGTCTCAAAGTTTTGCTTCCCTGGTTTTGAGTAAGAGATCTTCTGTAAATAGAATTGTTTCCATAATTTTGATATATTAATGATTTGCAGGCTGACTTATTGGGAAGCCCAGTGGTGAGACCAGCTGATGTAGAGACAACTGCACTTGGGGCAGCTTATGCTGCAGGAATAGCTGTGGGGTTATGGACAGAAGATGTCATTTTTGCAGAGAGAGCAGGAAAGCCCACAATTTTCAGTCCCAAATTAGACAAGGAACAAAGGATGAAGAAACTGGAATCTTGGTCCAAGGCTGTGTCAAGAGCTTTTGATTTGGCCGGTCTTTCCCATTAAACTCCTAGTACAGGGTCTTGTTTTTTTTTTAATTATAATCGTTGCATTTTATTTGAATTATATTGTTATGTTGAACAATAAGAATTCTTTGTGCTATGTATAGATTTTTGTCAATGAGATACAGTTCATGATTTTTTTATTATTAGTGAAAGATGAAGCACACTAGCACTCCATTTTTTATTTATGTCCATAAATTAGTACAGTACTTGTCTAGCTTTTGCTTTATTATTGATCCCAGTATTATTTCTGAGGTCTAGAGTGGGTGGGTGTAGTGATGCAAATGTTTTCTTTTTGATGAACTGGGTAGACATATTTCAGGGAGATCTGGATGAACACAATAGATTAATTTATTACATCCATTTAGTATTCGTTGAATTGGTTTGTAGAAGGTTTGATAAGGTTGACGGGCTACTGAGTCTAAGTCATACTCATTCTGTATCTATCTATCTATATACACTGACACCATAGATGTTAGTCCTAGTTGATACTCCGAAAAAGATTTAAAAAAAAAAAAAAAAACTAATAGTAATCAGAAGTCTTTAATTTGCACTTGAGAGTTGGTCAGGTATGTCTCATAAGCATTTGTTGAATATCGGTAATCAACCAGTTTGTGCACTGGAATTGTAATTGTTGAATTCAGAAATTTCATTGGTTTACATATTAGGTAGGATCCACAGGGATTTCTGAGCTTTCCATTAAGATCTTCCCTAGCAAAACTTGAAAATATTGTTCAGAGGTTTTCATGAAGGTGAGAAACAAGCAGAATGAAATATTTCATCATGAAACAAAAGACTTGAAGAGTCTGACTCAACTTAAACAAGAACTCTCCTGTTCATTCACATGCAGACACATAAATTGCTAGTTAATACGTTTAGGATGACACATCTTTCGCACAGTATGTGTAATAAATTCATAGAATGAATAATATACCTTCATTAATGAGATGAAACCACATCCTTCGCCAGTAAGGATTGATGTAGAGAAGAGATGCTAATGCCAACAAGCACGTTATGTATGAAGCTGCAAAACTTGCAGAGAAAGCAGTCAAATCAACTTCTTCATAACCTTTTCCCTTAACTCCATCTGGTAAAGATCGACCTTTGTTTTATAATACCAGTACATTGCTTCTGCAGTGGAGGTCCACAAAGAAAAGGATTGCCTTCATAGCTGCTTTCTTTCCTCAAATGTTGAAAACTGCGCTTCCATATCTGGTGTCTTACCAGATAAGTTGTTGTAAGCCACAGAGAAGACTGCTAAAGAGTGGAGCTCAATTAGTTGTGGAGGAATTTCTCCACTCAAATTATTGCAGGAAAGGTCCAAACTCTCCAGGTGTCTTAATTTTGAGAAGGATTTAGGAATTGATCTTGTCAAGAAATTGTGTGATAAGTTGAGTGCAATTATTTTATGTAGGTCTCCAATTTCAGAAGGGATTTTGCCTGTCAAGTGGTTGCAAGATAAATCCAATACTGAAACCTGATTGAGAATTGAATGTGTAATAGACTAATAGCTGATCCTCCTCTTTGTTGTGAACTCCAAGTAGTCATCTACATGATCCTGAGAAAATCCATTTTGTACGCGCTCATAATATCCACCAAAAATATTATCTTCACGCACCAGTCACCACTGTATCTTGGGTAAAATGGATACTCCATATCATCTATCCTTCCAAAACTAATGTTATTGAGGCATTGGGGTATTGACCCAACAAAGTTGTTGAGGGAAAGATCCATGAAAAGAGTCCTGTTTAATTGACACAACTGTTCTGGAATTGGACCACTAAAGTTATTTTCTTTCAACAAAAGAACTCGCAGTTCAGAGAGCTCTCCAATCCAACTAGGAATGCCACCAGAGTTGTTATATCCCAAGTCTAGTGACATTAAAGATGAGCTGTTGAGGAGCAATGATGGAAGTGATCCAGTGAATCGATTTCTCTGCAAATGCATGTAATTTAATTCTGGAGAAGATGGTATAGAGCATGAAAATTGGTTTCCAGAAAGGTCCAAAAACTGAATACTTGAAAATCCAATTGGGAATTGGCCATCTAAAAGATTATCTCTCATGACAAGCGTATCCAAAGAAGTAAAGTTGAGAAACCAGCTAGGAATCTTGCCTGATATTTGGTTGTTGCTCATGTCCAATATGCTTAGTTGGGTGCATTTAGATAACCCATCTAAGATATTCCCTGAAAACTGATTGTTGTCCACAGCCAAAAATAACAAGGAAGTTAGGTTAAAATACATTGGAAATATTTGGCCATGCAAACTATTGTTTGATGGGCTCAAGATTCCCAAGTTGATCCATCCCTTGGCTAAGTGCTCTGGTATTTCTCCGGAGAAGTTATTATAAGAAAAATCTAAAGCCCACAATCCGCTCATGTCACCAATTGAGGAAGGAATCTCACCATGCATTAAATGCATTTCTTGATAGATTTAAATACCCCAGATTTGGAAGTATTCCACCAATATTGTCTTGAAGCTTTCCTTGAATGTAATTGTCCGAGATGTCTATGTGAGTTGCATTCACCAAAGTATTAATGGATGGTAGATGAAACTGGTCTGTTAATGTGCTATTCCTTAATATTAGCACTTCCAATAGTGAATTGTTTTGGTAAAACACCACTGAGATTGTTTAGCTTGCAGTTGTTTAATGAGAGTTCAGATCTGCGCCCCTCGACGGGGTGCCCCACAATGTCCCATAGCGCATTCCCACCTTGTATTGGGAACATCTCCCGATGATGACACCATTGGATCTGATATTGTCATGGAGAGATGTTTTCAATACACGGCGAGGATGCACTATGGGACATTGTGGCCGCCCCACAGKGAACTCGTTTAATGAGAGCTTCTTCAATTTAAAACGTGGAACCCAATATGGATATTCTTCAGCGAGGTTCTTCAATTTTCCCTGAGAATTGATTGTAAGTGAGATCTATCATCCAAAGAGATGTCAAATTGTTGAAACATGGAGGCAGAGTTCCTTCAAGGCCATTCCTACTAAGGTCCAAGATTTCGAGGTTCTTCAATTTACAAAAGTCTGAAAAAGTGAATAGAGTCAATCAGCGGCTCCATCTTTATTTAAACTAAGGTCATTTCCAATCATGGGTTTACTAAAATTTACCAGTTTGTGTTTTACTAAAACACCCCTATAGTTTGTAAGTAAATCCTATAGTTTGCAATTGATTTACTTAATCAACCTTTCTATAGATGATAGTGGAAAATGACAGTTTTGACTTTAATGTCCATTTGAAAAAAATTAATCAAAAGAAAAGAAAATTGAAAAATACAACTTTTACCCCTGATAAGATAGACAACCACTATATTGGGCTCTATTTGCTCATTTTTTTTTGTACAAAGAAATGTTAGGGGTACTTTTAGAAAAAAAATCATGAGCCCATGCCCTTAAACACTCTCCACTCAGTTTAGGCGATCATGTTACTATTTTCAAATGGCAAAACAGATACTTCTTAGTGAAATATCTATTAAGCAAATAGATAACAAACTATAGGGAGTGTTTTAATAAATTGAAAAACAATAAGATAAGTTTAAGTAAATCCGTGAAACTAGAGGGTTGTTTTAATAAATAACCCTTCAAACTATTCTATTAGGCTCAATTTGGGAGGCAGAGTTCCTTCAAGGCCATTCCTATTAAGCCTGTTGGATTGGTTTTTGCTTTTGAAAATGTTAAGGTTAAAACCTACAAATTTCGTGGTTTGGATTATTAGAGTTGTTTATGAATTATATAATATTGCTGGTGGCATTTCTTATGGGATTATGCAATTTTTGAGGTCCTGTCTAACTACTAACTATCTATTACATTGGTGAGCGGCTTTAAAAGGTCAATCAAAATGGATATACCTAGATCCATTTCTTTTTTTTAAGAAAAGGATTTCTTTATTAAAGTTCACTAGTATGGGGGATAGGATGTGACTCCTCGATAAAAAATTCAACCAGATTTATATCATATTCAAATCAAATTCACATTACAATAGGATATTGAATAGCATTTAAAAGAGAGCAAGATCCTTGACCAATCAAGTTATGTTGTTTCAAAACAGGACTATTTCCAAAGGGTTAAACAAATTTTTTAAAACATTAAAAGAGGTTAATAAGAGGAGAAGAAACGAGGATATGCTTAAGTCAATTTATGAAAATTTGTATGCTTAAATCTTTTTTACCTTTGAGCTGTGTTTGATTTGAAGGAAAAAATAGAGAAAGAAAGATAAAATGTATAGATTTCCCCACCTTTCCTTAACTTTTTCCTTCAAAACAAACACTTTAATAAAATGAATTAAAAATTACTTTGAAGTTGCATGTTATGAACAAAATGAATTGAAATAATTTCTATGAAACTTGAGACTATGACTCTTTTGTATATATATTTTGAATCCATTTCCAATCCAATTATAATGAAATTGAATTTGGATTACCCTTAATTGGATCAAAGAAGGTACTATTTGCATAGAAATTATATATGGTCAGTTACATGAGTCCTGTTTCACCATTTCGTTATATTCATTGTTATATCCATCATCAAACTATGGGTGCTTTAGGCAAAGGAAGGGAAAGGTAGGTCCCTTCCTTTCCCTACTTTTTCCTTCAAACCAAACATTTTAATAAAATGAACAAAAATTACTTTGAAGTTGAATGTTATGAATAAAAATGAATTGAAATAATTCCTATGAAACTTGAGCCTATGGCTCTTTTGTATATATATTTTGGATCCATTTCCGGTCCAATTATAATGAAATTGAATTTAGATCACCCTTAATTAGAAGAAGGTACTGTTTGCATAAAAACTATATACGGTCAGTTTTCATTATATTCAATGTCATATCTATCATCAAACTGTGGGTGCTTAAATAATTTCTTAATACTTATTTCCAAGTCCTTGTAGTAGGTGTTGTAGATAGCCATCTATGCACATGACCAAACCACCTCAGTTAAGTGCCTAACACTCTACTCCATACAATGTAATTGGCCTCACAACTATTTTATAGAATTTTCCTTTAGTCAGAAGTGGTAATTACCTACACGCTACACATATGACTCCAACTGCACCCTCTCCATTTTACCCATTTTACTCTAATTCTCTAAGTCACATCCTCTTCAATCTCTTCTTTAATATGAATTATGGGACCAAGTTCGTTGAAATAGGTCACATTGGTCTCCAATCCTATGTGTATCCTAGTTTATACTCCTATTATCATTAAATAATTTACATTGCATATACTCTGTTCTAGTTCTACTTATTTTAAAGCCTTTTGTTTCTAATGTATTTGTCCATAAATCTAATTTTGCATTTAATTCTTGCTAATTTCATCGATTAATATTATATTATCAACAAACATTATTGATTGCCACTACCCCCAAATTAAGTATATGATAGTAATCTGTAATTTACCCTTTCAAAAAAAAATAATAATAATACATGTTTTTAGAACCATCAAAATAATTGTTTTTGAAACAAAAACAAATTTTATTAGTGTAAAGATTATATGATTTATAGAACATGGCATTGAATAACCTGATGAAAATATGTTTTTAAAATCAGAATCTCGAGAACGTGTTTTTTGGTTTCAATTTTGAAAACAAATACACAACCAAGAACATATTTTTTGTGTTCTTGTTTTGAAAACAATCTATTTTTTAATAAGATGGTTTTGATTTATTTTCGGAACTGCTAATAACAGAAACAATTCACGTTGTAGAATGCCCTCTAATTAATTAATTGGGTGATACACATGGTAAAGATTTATGCCTAAATTGTAAATTTTGTAACAAAAACAATACTATCAATAGGGGAACTGTAATCGAGGTTTTAAAAACCAGACTAGACACAGAACCGTTTTGGCCACCGTTCCTGGGTCAAATGGTCCAACCCGTCTGATTTGAATGGATGATCCATTTTGATTTTAAAAAATAAATAATTAAAAATAAAATAAAAAAATAAAAAAAATCCAAAAACCGTTGTTCAGGTTGACGGGTTTATGGTTTAATTGCCTAGTACACCAGGCCACTGACCAAATCAACAGTTTTTTGTCTAAAAACAGTTTTAGGGTGAAGTGGAACCAGTTACCTGACCGATTCTTGGGTCAACTGGTCCGACCGGTCAGGGGTCCGGTTATCAGGTCTAATGGTCTGATCGTTTAAACCAAATGGTCGGCCCGTTTTGACAAAAAAATTAAAAAATTAAAACCGGCCAAAACCGTTCGAATGGTTAATCGCTCGGGTCAGCGATTTACTAACCAAAATCAATGGTTTTTATGAAAAATCCAGTTTTGGGGAAAACCGGAACCAATCACCTGACCAATTCCTGGTTTTTCCGGTCCGACCATCCGATCCGATCCGATTTTGAAAACCATGAATGCAATCTCTATTTTTATTAAAAAAAAACTTATATAAAATACCACAAATCTCTCATTATGACCTGACTATGATACTACCAATCCATATCAAGTACAGTTCCAACCCAAAAGATTTTATGATGACATACATCTTCGTCATCCTAGTATGACACCCACCATCTGCCATTCAATTCTTACTTGACTATCCCTGCATATCGATCTTCAATTCATATGTATAATTTTCTTTTTAATTCTTGAAGACTTGGAACCGTTGAGTAGACTAAAAAAGTTGGAGGTCCTCGACTGAAGTGGGAATTATATACTTCAATAACACCATTTTGCGTCTTTGGGTGCCCTAAAATTCATCAAGAATCTGTCTCTTAGTAGAAACTATTTGGAAGGAAACATTCCAACTCAAGGTATATTCAGATGCTATATGTTCTTTTTAACTCAACCATAAATTGCATAAAGTTGGATTCTCTATTTATTGATTATGTTTTCTTTATTTTTGCTCTCAAATTTGATGAATAATTTGTAGAATTAGCTAGCCTTGGATTTGAGTCAGAATGGATCCAGTGTCATTACTACAATGCAACGTATGTAAGCTTCATTGACAAGTGTATCAGAAAACCAACTTAGGTTTATGCCGGGGAAATCAATCATGAAATCTAAAGCTGCAACTTGAGCCGGGGTTGGCCTGAACCCAACCCTAATTCAACCCGAAAAAAATTGGGTTGGGTTGGGTTGATGTTTGAGTTAGGATTAAGGTTGAAATTCATGAACTCAACT